GCAGAAGAGGAGGCGATAACAGAGCTCCAAGAGGCAGCGAGACGGGCATACATACCCCATATTCGACCACTTTCTGAATATATCGCCGTTGGATCGGCGGCTTTCATCAGCGAGACCTTCTATTCCTTGTTGCGGGGAGGTCAATTGTGTTCAAACTTTGAAGATTGAGGGGAACAGATACAACACAGAGCAGATCAGTGGTTAGACCAGAGCTGTCTGAGACAGCTGCCAGGGAGACACTGATCATTTCATAGAAGGAAGTTCTCCTCATGTCAGGCCAGGATCGTAGGCGGAGTGCGGTCCCTAGGCTAGTATATACGCATCTTCAAGGAATGGTGGTCCTATATGGGGAAATCATCATTGTGACGTTTTGGCAATGTCGCTAGTAGCTGCCTCGGATTCTATTTCGCTAGAAAATCAGTCAAAGCGTCTGGTAGAATTCTTCCAATAATTCCCAGCATACATCAATAGGTTGATGTTGCTAGATGGCTGCATCTGTGATCTCTCAACTGCCGACAGATTTATATAGTGAAGTATTGTCTCTGGGAAAGATGTTTAGTTGAATTCAACTTTGGATTGCGTTTTCCATAGCGTAAGGCAGAACCCTCGTCTTGGAACCGCCGGCCGAGCGAGTTTCGACCAGCCTGGAAGAAGAAGTGGCTATTTTTTTTCAATAATCGTAATTGCATGGGCATGAATGATTCGAACCGCATAAATCCAGAACACCAGACGCCCTGATAGTCTAAAAGTGCCCCACTCGCCCCGTTCGAATGCTCCTCTTCAAATCATTCCTCATCCGGCGGCATCTCATCCTCGATGTATCGGACCAATGATACTCGCATCTCCGTGGTATCATCACCTCTTAAAACATCGCTGACAAAGTGGGCCTCAATTTGCATTTGGACCTAAGTGGGACGTCAGAAATCCAGCTGCTAGAAGTGCTAACATTCATGCATATGCTGCCTCCTGGCTGCGTCTTACCATTTCGAGTGCACCTCTTAAAACACCGCACAAAATATTGGAAAACCACAGTTCGTCTTGTGCTCTTCCGTCGTCGGGAAGCTCCACAAAGTCCGCCAGAGGGTTTTCGTCGAAAATGAGAGAAAACTGATTGTTGTCGCTCGTCCAGTTCGTGACTGTGGGCGTGATATTCAGGAAGATCTTGAACCCAACCTATTCCCGCGGAAATTGTCAGTGACTATGACTCTATTTATGTTCATGTGAATCTCATGCAGGTATGATCACCTCATACCTTTGAGATCATATCTGCCGTCTCTCGGAAGTTGGCGCATCGGCCCATGCCAGACTTGGCCAGGAAATCTTCGATCAGTCGCATACCGATATTATAACCCATTTTGTCCAGCTGTTTGTTGACCTCTTGATAGTTGCTGTCGTAGTCCTGACATAATTGCGCGACTATTGTTCCATAAGTCAAAGTAACCAGCTCCGCATTAACCTTGTCAACCCTCGTCCTAAAATTGGCAACATCAGTTGGTGCACTTGCCCCCAGCAAAATTCGCGAGCTGCAAATAAGCGTTTCAAGGGTAGGTAGAGGCGCTCAGCTTACTGACTTCCAGAGCCTATGTTGGGATGGTTAGCCAAGGTACTCAACATCTGGATGCGACAACACAAAACAATCAGACTCACTCTTCTCCAATCCGGGACACCTTCGTGGAGGATGACATGTCTAGCTTTGCATCCAAATAATCTTAGATCCGATAGAATGATCGGTTTCTTGCCCAGCCTGCAGGTTGTGTGATTCAGTTGAGACAGTTGTCAAATGTGGATAATCTACAACCCCGCTGGAGTCGGTGGATCAATGAGCATGCAGGCGGAGTTGCACTATGGGTCCGCAGGTTAGCGGCTAACGCGTCTAATATGCTCGTAGGCGCTTGTGGGAACTTGCGCAGAAGACTAACTGCTCGATGACGGTAGACTGTTCTTGAGTATATCCGCCTTAAATTGCCGCTCGACCTGTTGTTTTTTTCTTGTTCCCGTCTTGTTGCTTTCTGTATCAGCTTAGGTTCGTCACAATATCAAGTCAACGCGTTCTACCGCAGTGATGTCGGGCGAGAAAAGACCAGCACAAGCAGCCTTTGGCTCCTCAAATCAACTTGTGGTCAAACGAAAGAAGTCCGACGGGGATATCAATGCTGGGACGGCTGTTGTGAAATCTTCAGCTCAGAATGGAACTCTTGTGCAAGCAGTATGTAACCCCTGGACTACTGCTTAGCGACCTTGAAGAGCCCTTTTTATTGATCACTATGGCAGATTCCTCGCACCAGTGGGCTTGACGCCCCCATTATGGAACTGACAGGTGAGGCACAAGGCTAGAACGGCTTGGATTTTGCATTAATACCGTATTCGCAGGTCATTCTGGCGAGGTCTTCACCGTGCGATTTGACCCCACAGCACAGCACATTGCGTCTGGGTCGATGGATCGGTCTATATGTGAGTCGTAACTGAAGCTCAGCGTTCTACTACGCATGATTTCTGACGCTTCTTCTGCCAACCCGCAGTACTTTGGAACACATATGGGCAGTGCGAGAATTATGGCGTTCTGACCGGCCATCGTGGGGCGATTCTGGATTTACAATGGTCGCGAGATTCACGGGCGGTTTTCTCCGCATCGGCGGATATGACGCTAGCGAGCTGGGACTTGGAAACTGGACAGAGAATACGACGCCACGTTGGGCACGAGGAGATTATAAATTGTCTTGACATCAGCAAACGAGGCCAGGAGCTTCTGGTTAGCGCGAGCGACGACGGTTGCATCGGAATTTGGGACCCAAGACAAAAGCATGCTATTGAATATCTCGAAACAGAGCTACCCATCACCGCAGTAGCTCTGTCGGAAGCAGGAAACGAAATCTACAGTGGAGGTATTGATAATACAATTCACGTCTGGGACTTGCGAAAGAAATCTATCGTGTACTCCATGGCTGGCCATACGGACACCATCACGTCCCTGCAGATTTCGCCGGACTCGCAGACACTGCTTTCCAACTCTCATGACTCCACGGTGCGCACTTGGGACATCCGGCCCTTCGCCCCAACAAATCGACACATCAGGACATACGATGGTGCCCCCATGGGGCTGGAAAAGAACCTGATCAGGGCAAGCTGGGATCCAAAGGGTGAAAAGATTGCAGCTGGTAGTGGCGATCGAAGTGTTGTGGTCTGGGACTTCAGGTCTGGGAAACTTCTATATAAGCTTCCTGGACACAAAGGCACTGTCAACGACGTGCGATTCTCGCCGAATAATGAGCCCATAAGTGAGTCAACCGAATCTGTTTCATGCCTTCTCCAGTGGCTAACCCTGTCGCGCAGTTGTATCCGGATCGTCAGACCGGATGCTCATGCTTGGTGAGCTTGGAAAATAAAAATGTTCTAGAATCAAAAAATACCTGCATTTCTTGCATGCTGCACTACGCGCATGATTCGCTCCTTAGTGTCATGAGGCGAATTCATCCACTCCAGGTGGTGTCAAGTTTGTCGAATGTCCTCCCAGGAATCCTACTCCCGTGACCAAGCGAAGTGCTCCTCTCTTCGGCGATATGGCAAATTCCTCGAATTATTGGTCGCGTAATTTACAGAAAGATATCCTATTCACGTTCATCATTTTTATACCCTCAGAGACGGTTTGAGTCAAGGCTTGGCAGAAGCTGTAAGACATCAAAGGGCAGGACACTTCGTAAGTCATAGCTGGGTTTTGAGAGCAAGAACTGGTATGTTTGTCCTCATGATGTCTACCAACGTCAAAAGCATATCAATTTAATCTTAGATAGCCTTTGTCATGTATACACAATCTGTGCATCTAGTTAGCATTTACTCAATAGCAGAACAAGCTATTATCCGTCTGCATGGTTATTGAGCTTTCTTCTGATAATAATTACTGGCAATAAGTGGTTCAATGACCATTGGCCATTAGTCCTGAGGGTCATTGAGAGCTGTTCTGAAACATTTGGTGCCTCATGCGAGTGTTTTGGCGACTGTTGAAGCTACACCCCTATCTATATCTAGCACGTTCCTCGGCCCTTCCAGTCTCAGTATGCTCATAATTATAGAGAGTGGGATGAAAAAATTATCCAGAGAACAGACGCAATTCAGACCATCCAAGGACAACTGCCATCATCATCCCAGAATAGATTCATGATGATCATTGATCAAGGTCATGGTCATACGAGTCATACGTAGACAGGTGGGTCTATCAGGGGTTGCTTGTCTTCTTCGTCCAACTAGTCTGGGCCTCTCCGCTATTAATGGCTGCAACTTTAACGATTCTCTGCAGGGCCAGGCTGGATGTGCTGTTCCAAGATTCTTGGCCCTTGGGCTTCTGTGCTTCTGTGTTTCTATTTTTCTGAGTCTCTTCCTGTTGGCGCTTCTGTTTCTTTCTTCTACTCTCTCAATTCACCTTGATATCCTTGTTTTTAGTCCATAACATCATTGTAATCCACCAGCTTCCGGACACCGCTGAGCGGCCAGGTGCTCCTCTTTCTCCTCGATATTTTCGCAATTCGAGATATATCGATCCTCTTGACCATTGCAACTCAATAAATCATCTCTCCAAGTACTGCGACTTTGAAATTTTGGCTTGGAGCGAAAGATCCCGATCCATACTTTATGTTTCCCCTCCGGCTTCTCCCAATCGCTGCGTCTTTCCTTTTGTCTATAGTTGTATAACATTGGTAATACGTTTATTATACTCACCTACAAACCTCCTCGATATCGGATTGCCGGTTTTGCATACACAGGGTGATCAGCTCTGGCGGTTTTCGTCGCAGTCCAAGCTCCCTTCACACGTCTGTTTACGGGGTGTGCAACGGATGCGGAAGTCGGTTAGGGGATGCATACCATCAAAAACCGAGTCGACTGTTTTTGTTAGAGAGGCTTGGTATACATAAACAAGGGACTCGAGGTTTAAGATCGATCAGTTATTCTTTCGTTCTTGACCTTTCAATCGCCCCCGATGCTTCATCCGCCTGATTGGTTTTAACGAAATGGACCCACCTCGAGTATCAACAACACAGCAGACCAAGCCTTCATATTCATCGCTCAATTCAACATTTCGCCAAAACGGCAGCAATCGAACAATCTCACATCTTCAAAACGAGAGTCAAGGTCCTGAATATGGCGCTGGACGCCTGGTCCCTCATACCCCGGGCGAATCTACAGCGCCGGGTGATTCGGGCTTAAATGCCGCCGTCTCTCCAGATACACCACCTGTGCCGCATATTCCAGTCAACCTGCCGCGTCCTGCTGACAGTTCGGATTCGAACGGTGAATGGCCGTCCGACGCTCGCTTGACCAGAGAAACACAGATTGAGCGGTCGCGCAGAGAAGCTGCTCGCTCTAGTCAGCAGAGACGATCGTGCATGCCAGCCCTCAGAGACAGAAGTATAAGGAGGCGGCTATACACACTGATCCCAGCCACCATCTTCCTGCTCGCTATTATCGCTTTCTGTAAGTCCGTTCCTGTTCTCTCCTGCTCTTTCAGCTCAATTGGTACTTACACAATGCGTAGACCTCGCAATACACTCCGCGACACACCTCGGTCAGGAAATTCATATTCTATTGATCTTCATGATCTTGATTCTCTCCATCATCTTCTGCCATGCTTTGATTCGCTTCGCTATGGAGATCCTGCAGGACCCCAGGTCTGCTGTTGCGAGTAATCGCATACCCAGTAGAGTAGGCCCAATGGGATATGCTCAGCCAGATCGCCCCATTCAGGTCACGCTTGCGGGAGATGAGGAAGCTTTGGTCGACGGCGCCGTACGGGAAAAGGTCACGGCTCCCCCTCCAGCATATGGTCTATGGAGAAGTAGCGTGGTGAGTGTCTAATCCATCTCCTTGGCATTGTTCTGACCACTAATACGTTCTCAGAGAATCAACCCTGATCTCCTCTATTGGCGGCGTCTAGAGGACGATGAACTTCCACTCGCCGCTGTCAACGGGATGGAGAGGTCGAACAGGAAACCTTCAGCGCCTAGACCTCCTAGTTACACATCCGATGATGGTGTCGATTACGTGATTCAAGCTCAACCACGACCTTTCACTACCCGACATGATACGGAGGATCCAGTGCGTCAGTAATGCGTCGCGTCTGGCTTAACTTGCCCATGGCGTGCTGTTTACTCCTTCGCTTTGAAAATGATTTGGCATAGCGCTTTTTATTACCAGAGATATCCCATGTTGAGACTTCTATCATTGCATCAGTATATTTGATTCATAGCGAACATTCCATCCAGCTGCTCGGTCAATGTCGGTATCAAAAAAGAAAAATTTCCAATAACAGATAAAGAGCAGTCCTCAGCTGCTTTACGAGAGTTTCTTGTGCTACAGATCAGATAAATAAGAAGTAAAATCTTAGACTGTGACTGCGCCGCTGGCGTATATGGAAACGGCATATCCGGCCTTCAAGTAAACTCTTAGCAAACCGCCAGCTAACCGTTGGCGCGGGATGAATTTAAATCTCACGTGCGAAATTATTATTGCCACGAAACAACATTTCTTCAAGTCTCGAGGGGCCCTCGATAATCCGGTAGTATCTCCGAGACCTCTGACTTATCTGACGAGAGAAGAGAAATTCTAGTTCCCATGTCATTTGCGGCTGGTTCGCTTCTGCGGTAATGCGCTCGGGATGTTGGAGTTTACAGATGTTCGACCTTCGATCAGCATGCATGATTTGGGTCTCACTCCTGTCGCTATGGCTCGCCATGGCTCAGGGCATGAGGACTTCGCAGATAAATGAACTCAGGTATTTCTGTCTGGTAGTCTTGTTGTCGTTCGTCTTGCAATGAGCGCCACGCTAATCAAATCAATGAGCTCAATTCAGGAAAGAGACCGAGCACATGTTCTACCATGGATTCGAGAATTATATGAAATACGCGTTTCCGGAAGACGAGCTGCGTCCTTTATCCTGTCGTCCGCTTGTTCGCGATCGTGATAACCCCGCGCATGCTGAGCTCAACGACGTCCTGGGAAATTACTCCCTTACCCTGATTGACAGCCTGTCCTCGTTAGCGATATTGTCATCTAGTCCGGATGAAGGGGAGAGAGCTTGGAACCACTTTCAAGACGGAGTGAGGGATTTTGTTAAGCTATACGGGGACGGCTCGGATGGCCCTGCTGGTCAGGGCGAACGGGCAAGGGGCTTCGATATTGATAGCAAAGTACAAGTCTTTGAGACCGTCATTCGAGGGCTAGGTACGGTATTTCCATTCCGTCAATGGTTATGACGGCTATTGTATCTGACATCGAATTCTGGTATAGGTGGATTGCTCAGTGCTCATCTCTTCGCCGTTGGTGACCTCCCAATCACCAGATATACACCGCCAGAACCAGAAGCCACCTTCGCCAAGGCATGGAACAAATCAGCGTTTCCAGGGCACGATCATGGCATCAAGTGGACAAATGGATTTGTATATGATGGTCAGCTCCTCCGGCTCGCTGCTGATCTGGCAAATCGCCTTCTACCTGCCTTCTATACGGACACCGGTCTTCCATACCCTCGAGTGAATCTGCGGCACGGCGTTCAACGGCGCCCGTTCTATGCGAATTCGCCATTGAATGCAGATAAACAATGCCATGGGTCCGATCGTGAGGTCTGTCGAGAAGACCGTCAGCGCGCTCCTTCAGAGACCACGGAAACTTGCAGTGCGGGTGCAGGCAGCCTAGTTCTCGAGTTCACGGTTCTGAGCAGGCTCACCGGAGATGGTCGATACGAAGAACTTGCGAAGAGAGCATTTTGGGCTGTTTGGGCGCGAAGAAGCGACATTGGATTGATTGGTTCGGGAATAGATGCGGAATCAGGTCGTTGGGTTCATTCTTATACCGGGGTAGGTTCTTCTCTGGGACCTGTTTATACTGGATACTCACTGACACTGATGACTATAGATTGGCGCTGGCATCGACAGCTTTTTTGAATACGCTTTCAAATCGTATGTCCTGCTCTCGTCGGGACGACGCTCCTCGCATGATCCCAGAAGTCCCTGGCAGGCCCTGGATGGTTACTTCCCGCCGTTGAGTGAATATGAGAACTCAGCGGAAGCATTCCTGCGCGTGTGGGAAGAGTCTCATGCGGCTATCAAACGGCATCTATATCGAGGGGAAGGTTATCAACATCCGCATGTGATTCAAGGCGACATTTTTACCGGTGCCACACGGGCGTTCTGGATCGATAGCCTGAGCGCTTTCTATCCAGGCCTTCTTTCGATAGCAGGGGAGCTGGACGAGGCCATAGCTATACACCTTTTGACGACAGCAGTCTGGACCCGATTCTCCGGCCTTCCTGAAAGATGGAACGTTGCCACCGGGAACATTGAGGGTGAGCTTGCTTGGTACGGCGGCCGTCCGGAGTTCATTGAGTCCACATACTACATATATCGGGCCACCAAGGATCCGTGGTATCTCCATGTTGGCGAAATGGTACTCCGGGATCTCAAACGCCGGTGTTGGGCGAAGTGCGGCTGGGCCGGTCTCCAGGACGTCCGCAACGGAGAGGTGAACGATCGAATGGAGAGTTTCTTTCTGGGAGAGACTGCCAAATATCTGTTTCTCCTATATCACCCTGACCATCCTTTGAATAACATGGATCGGCCCTTTGTCTTTTCAACCGAGGGTCATCCGCTCATTATACCTACAAGTACCAGTGCCAGCACCCATCCGCATAGGAAGCAGGCGCAGCATGAAGAGCTGGTCAATCTATCAGTTTGCCAGTTGGCACCTCAGCCACCGACATTCGGTCTATCCTCAACGGCGGCGCGTCCTGATATTTTCCATGCTGCAACTTTGGCTCGTTTGCACCTAATGCCGAGCAGAGGCCCGACCGAAGGACCTATCCTAGAGTATGCGCATGACCATCCTAGTATGACAGTGTCCGATCTATCTTCACCGACCAACTACACGTTTTACCCGTGGACTCTTCCCCCTGAATTGGTGCCCTTCAACGCAACAAGCTCACCGATGACCTCGCGACCCACACTTGATATCTCTTTCCCAGCCATTCCGGGTATGGTCATGGGTCCCGGGTCAATTGAGCGGGTTCGGGACGGCATTTTCATTAAGAACATCGGAGGCCTCCGATTGAGTATGGTTCAGGATGTGCCGTCACATGACGCGACTGGGAAGGCGAGCCAGGATGATTTCCGTGTGCAGGTGATTAACAACGTGCCTTTGGGCAAAGATGAGAAGGTATACCTCTCACGAGAAATCACCTTTGATATCCTCGATCCCACTGATCCCAATTTCACTCGGATGCGCGACTCTGCCATGATTGACATCGTCATTGACGTAATGCCAGATTTTCTCCGTCGAGGAAATGATTCGAATGGTAATCGCGAACGAGGTGCTGCGGAGCATAGTCAAAACCATGTCATCCAAGAAAACGCATCCATCGATGACAAGATCGGGGCCGTCGACCCTTCAAACTCCGGAATGAAAAATGTGTTCTCATCTCTAATGGACACAGTGTCTTCACTACTGCGGGACGAGAATCCGGGGTTTACGACACAATCACCCTTGAGAAAGTCGTCTATTGTACGGTTGAGCCTGCCAGCTGCCGTATCTAGCGGCGCAGGCTCGGCTCCGGTCCCAGACGTGGAGGACGCCTCTATTGTATCCGTCTCGGGGGAGCCGTCTAAAAGTCGCCTGTCGTGGTCCACCATTTACTTTGCCGATGAGATCTGTGACCATCGCATCTTACGGGAGATTGCTCAAAGTCATCAAGTCCTGGTCATCAGACGAGGCGGGTGTAGCTTCTCTCAAAAACTGCGCAACATCGCCGGTTACCCACCGTCACGACATGCCCTCAAGCTTGTCATTGTGATTGATTACGATGAGACGACTTTCGCGGAGGCTTCAACGTCCAAACCTCCCCCTTCTGCAGGTCTGGCCGCCATTCGCGCTGAACCGTTTCTTATCCGGCCGTTATTAGACGAGCCGCAAATGACCGCAGGAGGGCTTCCCCGTCGCCATCCTATTAGCATGGTGATGGTTGGCGGCGGCGAGGAAACGTACGAGTTGCTGCGACGAGCGACAGGTGTTGGCATTAAGCGACGCTATTCTGTTCGCTCTCAGGGCATACGGATCAATAATCTATATATAGTTTGAAGGATGTGCATAGACATCTACCAATACAACAAAGATATACGCCTCCACGACGATCGAATGATCCTCACGACGTTGCAACCATTCTGGAACTCATCAGAACCTCCACCTATCTTTTCGTCCCTCTTGAGAATTTGGATTCCTTCTCAGGCTTCTACGCCWGTTCGTTGGAGGTCTTGAGTGATTTTTACGATATACGAACTGTTTAGAGTCCAATAGGCAACGGGACAAAGCGCATTGAGAGGCACGCTCCATAATATACAGGAGGACTTGGATAGTTCCTGAGAAATTTTGCTACTAAAAGCTAAAGGCTATCGATTGCGACGCATAATAGTAAACAGTTGTAGAGCCCATAGGACTAGTCGGACAGGTCTTCGAAATATCCCGTCCAGAAGCAGAAGGGTATCAATCGCGACATATTACGTTGGCGCAACAATGTTCCTTGTATCGACGGCCCCACGTGCGTCTCCTGATCTGATAAGGCGATAAGGCGTCAATTAGGTACAATCAGGTACTGGATTCCGGGAACCATATTGCATTCTGATTGGCGAATTATACTACCCCTGATCCACTCGGTTTATAATCTCTGGCCCTCGGCTTAGGAAAAGTCGACTCCTCATCCTCTACGACTCAACACATCTCTTCTCCAGTCAAACTACACAGTATCACCCTTATTTACATCTGGACCATTCATTAGACATTCGTCATGCAGGTTCAACCTCCCACCGAGACCCCCACGGTCGACACCGCACTCCTAAAAGACGAGACCATCACCACAACGTTGGCAGTATCCGAGACGCCTCCTCCCCCGACCCTCCGACCCCTCTACTTCGCATACGGCTCCAACCTCTCCTTCACACAGATGCGCCTCCGCTGCAAACACAACCCTACCCTCTCCTCGAAGCCCGTTGCCGTCGCCCGACTCGACCACTGGCGGTGGATGATTTGTCAGGCCGGATACGCGAACGTATTGCCGCCGGCAGAACTGCGGATTGGGTGCCAACTCAGCGAGGGGGACGAGGTCCCCGTGTCTGGGGCTGAAGACGCCGTGTTCGGGGTGTTGTATGAGATGGATCCGGAGGATGAGTTCTTGCTGGATGGGTATGAGGGTGTGGATCATGCGGCGGGGCCGTCGAGGCTTGGCGGGAAGGTGTCTGTTGAGATTCGGCCGAGGGAGCAGGGCCGCGGGGATTATAATAAGTGGTATTTACCAGCGACGGTGACGCGGTGGCTGGATGAGGAGCAGCGCGTGTTGAGGATGGGTGCAACTGCGGTGGCGGGGTCCGGGCCGCAGGTCACAACGGTGCTGGTGTATGTGGACGAGGAGCGGGTACGGCTGGGTTTCCCCACGGATGAGTACATCCCGCGCATGAACCGGGCGATTCGGGAGGCCGAGTCGATCGGGTTCCCGAAGCATTGGGCAGACGAGGTTATGAGACAATCGATACCGCTGAATTAGTTCCTTGAGCCATGAGGTGGCCTGCATGAGTCTACGGAGTTACGATACCATGTATAGTTGCAATCTCTAAACGAGCAGATGCATTGATTCAGAGGTATATAGCAAGATTACGGTCTATCAGATGTATCGAAATTGCAATTCTTTCAAAGCTGACCGTAGGTGTAGGCCCAGGCACAAAAACTCTCCGCCATCTACAGACGATACAGGAACTGCATAGAAGCCAAGCACTTGTGCTCGAGCTCGAGCTCAGCAGACTTCTGCAGTACCATGGCGGAGCAGAATCGGCCCTTTTGTAGGGACTCAAACACATCAAAATCGGCCCGCAAGTATTTGATTTGCGGATGGTACTGTACTGCGTCGTAGGGCCAAGCTCCACCCGACGCATGTGGCTGCCGTATCTCGGAGATTTTTTCAGACCAGTCGACAACGTATCATCTCATTTAGCGTCGACCCATTCGAGACGGTCGAGTGCAAAAGCGGACCAACTTTTTCGACGATCATTTGTTTTGTTTGTGAATGTTCATTTTAGCACATTAGTGACAAAGGAAGTCGGGTGCGAGATAATTAAATATGAGGCATTTGATCCAATCATGCCCGATTGTCAGTGAGGCAATCACAGATATTTAGTCTCCTGACCGGAGAGAAGAGTGTACACCGGGGCAGGGAGCTTATCCCGTCCATTGAGGAACTCCAGCTCCAGAATGAAGATGAATCCCATGAGCTCTCCGCCCATTTTCCTGATGAGCTCTCCGGCAGCGTAGGCAGAGCCGCCTGTAACCAAGTCAATCAATGTTGAAGAAGAAGAAGGTTATCTTCCTGAATCAAATCGAACTCACCGGTTGCGATAATGTCATCGACAACGATAACCTTCTGGCCGGGCTTGATGGCATCGGCTTGCATCTGGAAAAAGTCCTGGCCGTACTCTTTCTCGTAGCCTTGGGTCTCACAAGGACCGGGCAGCTTACCCTTCTTGCGAACAGGGACAAAGCTAGCGCCAAGTCTCAAGGCCAAGCTGGGACCGAAAAGGAAGCCTCGAGCCTCCAGTCCAACGATAACATCGGGCTTCTGGTTACCGTGGGTTTCGAGGATGTACAGTTCGAGGCAACGGAGGAGGGCTTCGTGCAGGGTAGGATCGGCGAAGATAGGAAGAATATCCTCGAAGAGAATGCCAGGAGACGGGAAGTCGGGGAATTGGCGCAGAGCGGCGCGGAGTCTTACTTTAAGACCGGAGAGTTCGGCGGTGCGGGAGGGATGGGAGGAGGGGTGTCCGGCGACTTGGGTGGCGGCGGCATCTGGAGTTTGCGTGGATTGGGAGGGAGTTGACTGGGACATGGTGAAGAAGAGGGAAAGGGGAGGAAGAGAAGGAGGAAACAAGGAAAGGGGCGATAAAAAGGAGACGAGGTATTATAAAAAAAGAAGAGAGAGGAAAGGACAGGGGATGAGGGGTAATCGGAGGAGGGACAGGGAAAAAAAAAAAAAAAGTGTAAAAATAAGTCTGGACGGATGTGATAAGCCCAAAAATTATGCAACGATCGCTGGGTGGGTGCGGTGGATGTATTTGCATTTACACGGTAGCAATCTCACCTCTCTTTCATTTCAGTCTCGATCTCGACCTCAAATCATGTTATATACTATAATGATGGATGTATTATTCAAAGTTTTTATATAAAGAAACTGCGCATATGTCTCTTTTATGAATCTCAAGGGCTTTATCATTGAAAAGCAGTAAGAGGGCAAGGTGACCATCCATCACGGAGTACAAAAGTACATACAGAACAGTACCCCCTCCACGCGAAGGATTCATGTTCTTTTAAAAGATCAATAATACCTTTAATAATACATCAAGAACCCCTCTATCTATAGCAAAGTCTAGATCCCTCATCCATCAATTAATCTATTCACCATCAGCCCATCTACAGGGATAAATAGAATGTGTTAGCAGACACTCCTAGTGGATTTTCCTTTCTATTTCTCTTCATTATTATTTAAATGTAAGAAGCATACATTGCAAGTGCCATGCCACCTTGTGAGGCACGACATAGATCACATTTCTGCCCCTCTTCATGGATTAGTCTATGTGTCTGTCTATCTATCAAAGAATGCTCCTATCTGTGCATATCTTAGTGTCATCATGCAAGTTTTCGCCATAACATGAATACATGATACACTAGATTCAAAGCCCCTCCCCTCATCTGCGCCCTGGAACATTTCCCACTTTCTAGACCGTCTCTCATGCTGTGACTCGAAGGGTTGACGAAGTGAACTGCATTCTATATTGGTTCCTGATATTTGTATCTCGATCAAACATAGATATCTGGACGTACTAATAACAGACTTACTGGTATTCATGGTCAATCATTACTTCTACTCATACGCCCCCATCCTTGAGACGTATCTGTACAGTGTCCCTCTCCAACTTGCGGTCTGAAGCTTGTGGATCCTTTGCGACTGATCCTCCGCTACTACTGCGTATTCTGGTCTCTCAATTGTTGTCTTCTGGTCTATCTACCTTAGTGGAGGTCAAGCTAGTGCACTCTGAAAATATGCTCGGACTGAAAATCGTCCTGATCAAGCTGCCACTCAAGTTACTCAACAAATTAATATGGCTTCTCCACTTCCGCCAGCCACTAGACAATTGTTGTGTTATTGTTGCATCGTCTGCATCGGACGAGTACCACCAATCAGACCGAAACTGCTAGCTATGTTTGCATGCTCTGCATTGGAATTACCTCTGCTGTTATGTAGCAGTAGTAACTTGGATTATCTTCCTGACATCTATAACATCTGTAGATGTCTGACTATGTATGACCACATGTGCTTCATCAATACTGTCTCTCTCTTTATCATCTCCAGATTGTCTGTATTCAAATTTGCATGATGAAGTGATATGTAGTTCAGCGAGCGGGTGCATATCACACATGATCTAGTTAAAGGTAAATACAATGTCGCAGGCCTAAAGGCCATATGGCATCCAGAAAGCATGAGAGGGAGGAGTAAAACCATCACGACATCACACCCCATTGGTATCATACAACTTTGTGGCTTGCAGCTCAGATCCGGCTCGTATGCTGACAAGGACAGCTTGTCCACTTCCATTCCAATTATACTGGACGAATATCTCAAGATTACTGGATTAATATCCGCTGAACACCCGTCTTAGCGTCTAGCAAGGGTTCATCATCCATCGTGCAACGCTCGGATTGTCCAAATGGACTACCTCCTGTCGTTTCGCACTACGGAGTCTAGTCTCCTCGCCAGACCACTTCAGGAAGCCATCACTGTTCTTCCAATCTCGGCTCGGGTCAGGATGTGGTTAGAATGATTGAGCTCCTTGATTATCGTATGCAACCGGGTACCTCCTACTGGTATTCCATTATTGAAGAGGAACTCTGTAACATGTGCTTAATACTTTAACAATCAATTCTAGCATGTGCAAGGATCCACTGTTCCGCATATGGCTCGCCATGTAACAACAATAATAGTCCATATCATTTGGACAATTCAGGAAAAAGGTGGTAGAAGTTAACATTTACACAAAGGGTCCTGTATCTGCCTAGTACTTGACATCTGTGAAGCCTGTCGCTGTGCTGCCGTGCTACGTACCTTGCACTTACAGGCTTATGGTTACAGCAATGTCCCCGCCCTGCAGCGGCTGCAGCCATCATGCACTTTTTGAGTCTGGTGCACGCTACTCATGTGTGGCGTACATGGGGCTCTGAGTTGTAGCCGTATCACACGCAATCCGATGTTCGGAACACTTATTGAGATCAGACCTTTGTTACTTCGACTTCGACTGGGTAATTTCTGTTTCCTGCCTGTCTTCATGCATAGTGTCGATCCATTTGGCACGCTTTCGTTCGATACCTTAGTGACGGAGTAGGGTACCCGAACTGGACAGCATCGCGCGTCCGGGGCTGGCGCAAAGACTGCATAAATACCCCTCTCCCCCTACCCTACTCTCTAACTGGGGCCATTTGATCAGCGGAACGGAATGAGTTGGACCGAATAGGCAAAAAAGATAGCCGAACGCGGGGGTCGAACCCGCAACCTTGAGATTAAGAGTCTCACGCTCTACCGATTGAGCTAGCCCGGCCGCTGCTTTAATGAAAGCAGCGAGAAATTTGAATACATAATACCAAAAAGTCAGCACATCGAAGCTGGACATGTGAAGTCTCGACCGTTCACAATACCATCTTGCCATATGGGATGGGGTTGGAGGATATTCAACCAAAGTGTAATAGCTCAAAGTACCTTGTATTTCGTATGATCCGAGCAACATTGCCCGCTCAACGCGATGCTAATTGGTTTTGTATGAGACATGCTGAATGATGATATATATTCCCATGATTCTGTTGCTTGTCTCCAACGATGCTTGGAAACATCGAATCAGCCATGGCATGAATGGGCCATGACACGCCTAAAAAGGCCACGAGATAAAGTAGCGCTTGGATAGTCGCTAGAGCTCACTGGCGTCATTCAGCACCATATCCAAACAACAATTGTTCGGCATCGGCAAGGACATAGCATCCTTTGATAACGGTACGGGGAAGTACAACGCATGACTCCAAGAAGCATACAGAGAACGCATCATGTAGAGACATCATGAACAGGATTTGCCAAAGAGTAAAGCATATAGATGGTATTGGTCGAACCACAGAAATGACAGCATACTTGTCAGATAGTTCGAGCAGATGCCACGTGACAAAATGCACGGACCAGTTCGCTTAGAAGTACGCTAAAACAGCTTCAGGCATCAGTACAAAAACCACGTTTTCTTTCTCCTTCTCACTGATCTCCTTTATAATTTTCCAAGCCGCGCTTCTGGGTCAAGCAGAATGTGCCACATGAGACCGTCAGATGTACTGTCTCATACTTAGTAAATATCTTCGCTCAGAGCAATATGTCACCCGTCTCTGCTGTCAATGAAATGCAGCAGGATCTGCAGCAGCAAACTCTAGCTCGATCTTTCGAAGCTCTCTTGCTTACCATTCAACACCTAGGCTGCAAGGAAAGAGATCTGCATCGGAGGCTGAAATATGCACATGATGAGGTAAATTCCTATTCTCACCTGCATTCTTGTTGCCGATACCCCCTTGTTGTCTCAAATGACGAGAAAATCGATTAGCTCTAGATCAGGAGTCGCTTCTGCGGCGGTGACGGATAAAAGTCATGTATTATCTGATGAGACTTTTGAATAACCTCTGTTGATTGCACTGTTCCAAATCACCCGTATGCTGACATCATGTGCAATAGTACCTCAAGTTAGCAGATCAACTTCCTAATGAAACCAATACACACACCAAGATCGTCGCGGAGAAGATACTTGGTCGACATCCCGAATACGAACCCCTTCATAACCAATCCCTAAATCCCCTGGATGTAATCAAGGCACTTGCAGACTCTGGAAACGTAGGAAGCGAGGCACTTACTGCCATAAAGGAAGGACTGGAATGCTGCAGATCAATAAACTGCCCCGACAATGATAACCAGCTTCCCGAACTCAATTCATGTTCTGTTGCGACCAGAGCTGGCGTATCAGGCAACCTAGAAAAAGACTTCACCACCAAGGGCACGCAGGGAAGTTTGCGTTGTCCCTTTTCGAAGCCTAACAATAAGCCCTCTGAAAATGGGGAGCCTAACGGGATTGAGGATGCCTTTGCTACCCAGAACGGTGATACGTGCGGGCACGAGGACCTTGATCCCATTAAAGCTGAACAGAATGATAGACGCTCTAGTTTAACGACATCCGCAAAGTCGAGTTCAACCAGATGCCCTGTTTCTAGGTGTCCAATCAGATTCATGGACAAGCATAGTCCGGAGGAAATTGCCGACTATGTCGAGAGACACAAGCATGAGATCCCGCGCAGCCATGCAATATGCGTTCAACGTTACCAGAAAGATTCTCAAACGATGCGGCAACTTGACGCAAAGTATGGTAATCTTATCAATATGATCCAAGGCTTGTCAGTCAAACATCAAGCGTTCCTGCCAGGCCATAGCCAGGACGGCACGGCAGCATCCAGTTCATCTGCTGAACGAGTCGAAAAATGGGCAGAAGACGTTGGAATGAAATCGCCTGAGCAAGAATCACCCAGCTCTGCCGATGAACAAGAAGCACCAGGCGCCGACGACGATGAGAGAAAAGGACACTTCGACCGTCCTTTGCGCGAGGTGCGTGTTGGCGAGTCCCCAAGCAGGCCTTGGGGAATACCGATTCCGGTTTCCCAACCTTCTTTCACATCTGCCATGCAGTCGCCGCATACTCTGTCCTCAGACTCTGCCAAACAGCCATTGAAAGAACCATTTGACCTTCCTGCCACTGCCGACCCTGTCAAAATTTCTTCTTCTGGCATAAGAACTGGTCGGTGTCCTTTCGGCCATGATGCTCCCAAAGCGAACGGCCCAAGGCACGATCTGGAGATTGAAACCGTCCGTAACGATGCAAGCAAGAGCGAAGCGCCAGACACCCCTCGGCCCCCTCACGAAGACAGCGCGGAGGGTTATTTCCATACTGGTCAAATCAACCCAACCTCGTCCGCAAAAGTGGTCTTCAATGGACCGGTTTTCTTCGGGTTCTCACCGGAGCAAACAGCATCGTTTCTGCACAAATTGGGCAATACAGTGCCAAGCAAGCCATCATAACTCCGAAAATCTCGGTAGTTGTCTCGAAATACGCATCAGAAGCATTTGGTCTACCTTGCCATGCTACTCCTCCTCACGACGTCATGATTTGCATGTGATGACTTTGTATACTAGGCTACATACCATTTGACTTCTCTTCCTTAGCATTAGAAGCATTTTAACCTGGCATATAATTCAAGTGGTACTAAGTGGTCTTTTGATAATGTAGATGCGCCTTTCTTCTGACATTATTTGGTGGGGAATGTCAGTGGGGGAGCGAACCATCAACAACTTTCCCGCGGAATAGATAGAGCTAACCTCACACAACCCCTCTGCCCCTCATGCTTAAAAGCAGTTCTCGTCTTCTCTCCCCATACCACTCCTCATCTCTGTCTCGTCTTATAACCTCATCTCCTCGATTTTCTGCTCATTACCCTATTACGCGCACCTACCCGACTCCATTTCACCGCCAATCCGTCAACATGTCTGGCATGACTCCCGTCTTCTCAAAGGATGCCTGCCCTCGTAAGTCTGATCCACCATTGACCTTCCAGGCCACGGTCCCGGCGTAGAAAATGAAATGAGAGCAAGTTCACTAATAGATTGATCGCTACTGTAGCTGCCGGTCCCTACGTAAGTACTACACTCGACCCCAAATTCGAAAGTCCGAAACTAGACTCTACGCCCCCATACCGATTCCCATGAATCCAGGACACATCAGTTGACCCCTCGTCAAATGCCTTAGTCCCAAGCCATCCGTGCCAACGGCCAGCTCTTCATCTCCGGCCAGATCCCCGCTGACGCTAGCGGCAACCTCGTCGAGGGCAACATCGGCGAAAAGACACAGGCCTGCTGCAACAACATCAAGGCCATTCTGGACGCTGCCGGGTCCAGCGTCGACAAGATCGTCAAGGTCAATGTGCGTTATTCCTTGTGTTCCGACAATCGTGGTGAGTGTGCAGTTGTGCTGACTCTGAGACTCTTCGGAACCTCACAGGTCTTCCTCACTAATATGGCCGACTTCGCCGAGATGAACGCTACTTATGAGAAGTTCTTCACCCACAAGCCTGCTCGTAGCTGCGTTGCCGTTGCTCAATTGCCTAAGGGGGTGCCGGTCGAGATTGAGTGCATTGCTCTGCAGTAAACTAGATCATCTTACTAAAAAATGGTCGTCTATATATGGACGAATTTGCCCGAAATCAGAGACAAATGAATTTCAACCCTGATGAAATAATAGCCCCAATTGTCCTTGAATTTCATTCTCATGAACAATTAGATTCTCGTTATATGCTTGCTGTCTAGGTTTCATATTGAACACCATCAATCCCGCGAAATAAACGTAAATTGCATTCGAATCTCGCCAAGAAACAAAAATTGGGAATCATAAACTTCATGTGGTCGAATGGTGCTAAAATGCAGAATCGCAGACGAAACGACAAGCGCAAGAAAAGGTGATTCAGTAATAGACACGATCATGCCAGTACCCTCCCAAGTTATCTCCGTCCAAGAGTGCCCGTCATTCTTCCACCCATACCTGCCATAAGACTTTGCTTCACGATAGCATCCGCAGCAGCAGCTGCTGCGAGCCTTTCCTTTTGACGGCTTCGATCACGTAGATATCCAGCGGCTTCTGGTCTCATACGGAGAATCCGTAAAATCATATCATCATTTGGTTCTGCCTGGGCCTCACGCCTTCTCTCCTCTTTCATCTTTTTCATTGTCCCGAGATTCCGCGACAGCATGATGCTCTTGACTCGCCGGGTATTGGGCACCCCAAGTATACTGCCAGTTCCCCCAGATCCGATATTTGGCGGTGCTGACAATCGGTTCTTATTCACTTGCTGCCGTGATATCGTCGCTGATGCCATGCGCTCAGAAGTACGGATCAAGCTCTCCGTGGGTTCAAAATAGAAAAAGTTCAGGGTCTGGATCTCATGGTACTTCGGTGATTTCAGTATATCAAGTGAGACGCCGTGGGCTTCACCAGTTTCCTCATCAACAGCATGGAAGAAATTCAAAAGAAGTACAAGCCAACGCGACACAATGTCAACTTCTTGCATCGTAAGAGGCTTTTGATGAGAAGGTTTATCCGACAATGGAGGAACCAGCAAGCCTTCGATGGTGGCAAGAACCTCTTTCCACAGGCGCGCCATGACCATCTTCATTGCTTCAGACGTAAGAGATTTGTTCATGATTGCAAAGTTATCGTTAAAATAGTCAAAAAGCGGTTTGAGTGCATTCTCCACTTCTATAGCGGATGGAGATGTTGTAGCGTTTTGCGGACGATTCCGGCTCAGGAAGTTAGACACACTAGAGATGCTGAGACCTCTAGACAACAGGGATTTGAGAGTCCGTCGAGACAAGCAATGACTGATGTACGCAGAAAGCTGGAAGAATGGTCAATGTCCTGTGAAAGACAAGTCGGTCGGCTATGGAAGGGTGACCTACCTTTTCGGTGATTTTGCGAGTCATATCTCTTTCGGTACGTTTTAATGTCCGAAACGCTTTGCCGAAATAGAACTGGATGTCATCGCGCTCCCCTTCCATGCTGACACGAAGTAACAACCTGCCCTGGGTGTCTAGATCAAGCCAGTACTCCCTCGGAAGAAAATCACTGAAATGCACAGGATCGAGTTTGATCGAAGTGCGACCAACATAGTCGTGATCACCAACTGCATCCCAGTCCCAGATGGTCGCAATGATATTTAGCGGTCCTTGTGTTGTTATGTCCACAGCATCATCCCATCGTGGGTTCAGGTTGTTGTAGATGATTCGAGTCTTCGCAATTCGCTTCTGATACTCATCTGTGAGAACAACGTAAGGATCACTGCTGCCATTCATGTCACAGGCTTTCAGATCTTCGGCTTCCACGACCTTTATCGTGAAAACGTAGGTTGTTGATCTGCGGATTTTCTGTAGCTGAGGGCCCGCATGCTGTGCAATCACCTCCGCACATCCGTCGACATTGATCTCACGCTCAAGCCCGTCGAGTTGCGAGAGGGCATATTCGATATTATTCAGTTTGACGAGAGACTATAATTCTTGGTCAGATACCCGGGACAAGGCGACGCACTTTGAATGATATCGCAAGCTTACCTCCGGGAAAAATTGGAAAGGCTCAATTTTTTCCTTGCTTGTCCATGCTTCCTTCGCCATTTGCATTATCTTTTCCTGAGTAGTCTGATTCATGGCTGCCTCTTGATCAGGAGACAGCCGATCCATTTCTCTGGAAAACATTTGTTCCAACGATTCGCAGTATAGTGCCACACCCTTCCCGATAGACTTAGAAAGGGCAGTCATAAATTTTGCATACTGCAAGTCATCATCCCACCCAAGTTGAATCATCTGTTCAATCACTTGATTGAAAGAGCGGAATATGTCGATTACCGACACGCTGTGTCGGTAGTCTTCAGGAACAACATCTGTCCAGTCGCCAGCCCGGACAGTGAAGGAATCTTGTCTAACCGCCTGTTCAACCCAGTCCATGACTTTCTGATCAGTTAAGCGAATCCAGCGCCATACAAAGTCTTCCAGAAGACTTTCCACGTGGAAAGGGAAAGTGACACTGTCCCAGCGTCAGCAACAAATACACCACAACGATGAACGGGGTTCTTACTCAGGTAAGGCCTCTACGAAAAGCCGGCGCGTCGCTGTCAGTTGTTTATACAAGTCAAAGCCATCTTCCAGCTCAACATCTTCCCCTCTCGATTTGGCTTGTTCCACAATTCTGACAACCATCTCATGCGCGTCTTCCGCAAATATAGGGAGGATATTTGTAAGTAGAATGTTATAGGGATTTACTCTAAGATCTGTCAGTCTTTGAAGAGTGCGCTACCGAGGATTAGCCTCTTACCCCATAATTTCCGGATTATTTCGATATCGCTTCCGTATCTTCTGTGCCAGTTTCATGATGGCATCGCCGAGCTGGATGACGTGGTGTGTCTCCCAGGCTTCTGCCTGCACTGGAACAATCTGTCCTAAAAGTTCTTGGTACTTCTCAGTTGCCTTTTGCGCGAGACCGTCCTGCACATAGGAGCGGAACCGATCGATATCTTCCAAGTCTTCGGTGTAGTTCGGGTCGAGCTGTATGTGGTTCTCCAAGACGTACATCACCGGGCCAATAGGACGAGGCTTAGCTTCAAAACAATCCATCATTACATCGTACAGTTCCCGGAGTAAAGCTTCGTGGAGGGAGGATAGCAGCTCTTGCATGGACAGAAGATCCTGGATTGTCCATTTGCTCCTGTCAAATATAACAGAGGCCATAAAACTTTGTCGTTTCTTGCCCTCTGACGGAGGTGTTTCCTTAACAAACGTAAAGGCAGAATCAAGAGTGTCAAGATCAATCTCGTTGTCCACGAACTTTGTTCTTATGATGTCCAGGAACAATACAACCCTAGAAAAGCTGGGTATTCGCCAGCGAAGGCATACTTCATTCAGCAGTTCTGTGGACTGTTTGGAGAACAGTTTCATTGACGGTGTTTCCGAAGTAGCAGCCGTAGCTTCGATCTCGCGATCCTTTAGGTCGTGACTCAGAGTCAGGCCCAGAATGAATTTGTACATTGACCTTGGATCCGACGGTATGAAGGTGTACGTATCGGATTCCTCAGAACTATTATTTGGGTCGTCAGACAACGACAGAGAACTCAGGTCAATAGGTTGGTCAATCACATAGGAGACTGGCCGATCAGACATTGTTCGAGATAGTGGTCCAGCGTTTGGATCGTTGCTCTGATCAGCGGCAGTCGCATTGAACTGCGGAAGTGCACCGCCTGGGGTGCTTTTTGCGAGCTCTGGATTTGATTGTACGATAGCCAGCATCATTTGCGACAAATCCGGGCCCTCACTCTTCTTCCAGTGTTCATAAGCTTCCTCGTTATCAAAATCTTCCCTGGATAGCGTCTTCCGCGTCTGAAGGTTCAGGTGAGCCTGATAAGTTTTCAAGTCCTGAAGAGCTGCCTTTTCGGTCCATACGCCTCTGTTCTTGTCAATGTCGGTTTGGACCTGGTGGGTACTTATGCCAAATATCTTCGCGACATGCTGCACGAGGGGCATATCTCTAACATCGTAGCTGAGAGAAGTTGTCGTCTCAACCGTCGCCGTCGGTCCGCTCGCTTGCATAAGATCATGATCTTGGGAAAGAAGTTTGTTCTCAAGAACAGATAACCTGTTTGCGAGTTCAGGCCGATCCTTGTCCCAGTCATGGTCTTTCAGGATCAGCGCAAACAGCCGAACAAAAAGGGCGACATGCCTGTCCACCATAAATTTCCAACTGTCGTCATCTGAATCTTTCCCCTTACTCAACTCTTTTGTCGCATTTGAGTAGAAAATAAGGACGAGATCCTCCGCTCGGCGATCCTTCTCCATCCGCTTCTTGAACGACTGATCTTTCAAAGTGTTGAGGAACGCGGCGAATGTCCTCACGACCAGGTGATCTTGGTATTCCTTCCTTCTCTCCTTTCCCATAAGTACACCCGTCAACCTCTTCTCAAGCTCAGACACGAAGCCATTTGGGAACCTCGTGCTCTTCGAATCTCTAACCAGCGAGAAATCGCTCATCAAATCATGGAAGGAGGTTGACGCCCGTTTCGGGCGCGACTGCGGAGCGGCAGAGACATTCTGTATGCGACGAGAACGAGGATTCAAAAGATAGGTGAGATACGCGACTCGTAGAGCATAACTGTAGGCGGCCGAAGAGTTCACCGGGCGCCTGCGCGATGCGGACAGATTGCGGGAATGACGAACTTCATTCTGAAGACTGTTAATCCGTCGGTTGATGCCTCGGGACTGAGTGGATGATGTCGACATGAGGAGATTTTCTCTCTCTCCCTCTCTTTCCCTCTCTCACTATTTCGAAATTCAACTGCACTCAAGGAGAGGGGAAGGTGCGGAGACCATGGATTAGAGGATTCACGACCAAACCACTAGCCAGCGCGTACTGAGTCAAATCAACTTTCATAAACCGCGAAATGGAGGGTCGATTCACAGAATCAGGAATGCGGGATGGGAGTGAGGGGTTGACCCTTCAAGAACCAAGATGGGTTTGTTTAAGAAAGGGGCGCGGGAGAATGTTTTTGTTGCACCTGAAACACAAAGCTTCCCGATAAACTGACGTAGTTACAGTGGCCCTTTTGCCCAAGAGCCTCGAACGGTGTCGCACCACTCAGCAAAGCGCCGGCCTTACTCGCGAGCTAACTATTTCTGATTTTCTACAATGATTATTATTGACCGCCTATTGAATCACTCTATGAGAATTGTTGAGGCGCACATAATATGAACGCGGCTATACTGGTCCATGTAATACTCTGCCCTAGGTACGTACTTCAGTATGGTGGCCCCCGCAGGGTCTCTACCTTCTACTTTATTCCGGTTTAGGGTGTTATTAGTGGAGGGAAGTCGACGAAGCTGGAGTAGCTTGACGCCCCAGAAACCCGATCTCCATCTATTGTCCTATTGTTTCGATGACCAAATCGGCTGCGGTTTGGTCTGTTTTGGTTCAGGACGTGCTACATTATGGGCAACTGCAAGACAATGATCGATATCGACATAGCAAGGATGTACTATCCCATAAGGCGAGGAACCCCAGCACTTAAATGCTGCCAGTATGAGAAATTGACCCATCCTGCAACGATAGACGCACATAATCGTCCTTCCGCACTTGTATGAATTGACAATCAGACCTTTGATTGGAACCGTAAAAGAAAAACTGCACTGTAATATTTACACAATATGAAATCAAACTACTACCAAGAGTCCTCACCGCCCTTGCGAGCCTGCATATCAATGTCAGTATGATTCTCATGCCACCAGTGCGAAGGCAGGATTCATAAACGTACCGGAACAGCACTCGCACCTCCAAGCTCCTTCTCCAAGCCGCCGGGATAAGTTTTGGGGACGCTGGGCTTGTCAGGGTAGTACAGGCTCACGACGCCGCAGAGAGTAAGGAATGTTGCGATGAAAGCTCCAATCTGGAACAGGCCTTTGCGGGGTGTGACATGGGTATATGCCTCGGGACTGAAGACGCCGAGGATTTCATTCTCCTCGTGGACGGGCTCGCCAAAGTTCCTTCTCTCCTGCTTATCCCACCAGTCGCCGTAGGGGTCTCTGAAAGCACGCTTCACACGAGGGGGGTTCTGATAACCTCCGTTCTAGAAGCAGACCGAAGGCGTCAATTGGGGAAAGATCCAGCACCCGGGTCACAGATGAACGACATACCTGCAAAGGATCATCAATCTCAGCTGCAGAAAGACTCCGGATTTGTGAAAATGAGGCGCGCGGAGCGGTAAAACGAGCAGCAACCTGGGGCAGGCGCCGGGTCAAAATCCGCGAGGACAGCATCTGCATGCGACTCTTAGCGACGGTTAAAGGGCTGTAGAATTCGACATTGAGGTAGACTCGGAGATGGAATCTTACCGTTTTGCTGTGTTAAAAGGTGAGTTTGGGAGCAAAAGAAGGGCAAATATGCTCACTCAAAGGGAGTGGAAGTGCAATGACGGGGTTCGGATTAATTGGAGGTTTGCGGAAGCGATAGTGAGAGAGCCTTACCGCCTCAGGCAACCAGCTGCCAGAGCCCCCAGCGCGCTTACATACACGTCTTCGTACTCTTCGTCACCAGATGAAAAAACCACTCCTTCATACATTTTGTCGATCAAGGTGCTTTTTCAACTACCAGCCACGCTATCGTGCCGATAACTATGCCAAACTTTCTGTGGCATCTCTACCAGTTCATACCTATCTATTGATGTTAAATTTATCCCGTCCGACCTCGTCCTCGTTGGGAAAACTGGGGTCAGCCGCAAAGAGGGCCCCTGTCATCCGTGGTAACAAGACATGCAAGACGGAAGCTTGAATGGTCTATCACACCACAACGATGAACGCGTAACTCGTGAGAAAGAAGACAAATCATTGAATACCCCTGCTCCAGATGATCCACCTGATTCCGCGAATCGCGATTTAATCCCAGCCGAGTCCAAGGAAAATGGGGTCTCAACCGATCCGACCGAGGGGCCTCCGTCCAAGAGACGAAAGCTTGCAGAACCAGACAATTCGCGCCGTTCAACACCTCGACCACCGTCGCCTCCCTGGAAGAAAGTGGGTGTTGATGGGCCGACCTCATTCCTGCAAGATGGGAAGCGGAGGTCTTCCCGAGTCAATGCGATTCCCCTTGAGCTGCAGCCTCCGTCAGACAAGCGAAAAACGCGTGCAGCGCAGAAATCTACCGTAAATAAGAATCTTTCCGGCGGTGGGAAGGTCGTCGCTTCGTCGCCGCTGTCCATGAGTGTGTCACAGTCGGGTATGAATGGGAAACATACCAGTGGCAACTTAACGACAGGATCACCGAGGACTGCGACTCCAAGGGGCGCAAGTGCCAGGCGGCCCGGTATTTCACGATCACCAGCACCCAGGCAGACTCACTCACGGACCAGATCTCAAAGTTTAAGTACTTCAGTCCCTAATGGTCCTATTTCGAACAAGGCACGATCGAACCGATCCCCCTCGAATGCCACTTCAACGTCGATAATCGGAATTGATGAGTCGAGGAATGATATCGGGGGTGGGACTGAGTTAGGAAACGAACAGGGTCAGCGGGTGCCGAGGCTGCGAATTAAAGTCAAGAAGCCTGTTATTGGGTTCCAGCATCCGTCCCATGTGGTTCCTCCCCGGAAATATAATTCTTTCAGGGAATGGCTTGAGAGCAGGGAAGGTAGAATAGAAGATGGTACGGTCCTTACGCCCGAGGCAGCACTCGAAGAAGCTCGGAAGAGATGTCGAGTCTTGGAAGCCACAGAGCCTGGCGGTCTACTGAGCCCTGAGGTATGTTCCGCATACTTGCCGGAGCAACAGGAAGAACCAGCGCAACAATATTCACATCAAGACCACCTCGTCGCTCATGCCTTGTACTTCAAGAAGCTTCTTGACCAGGAGCACCGACGCCATCGCAATACAGCAAGGCTTCTTGCTCAGTGGTGTGCTGACGCGTGGAGGAAGCGCAATAAGCGCCCAGAGGATATTCTCAGAGAGCAACAGGAAGAGGTGCGCGGAAAGCGCAAGCAACTGGCCAAGGATCTTCAGAAAATGTTCGACTTGGCCAGGGCGGAGGTTGATCGGGTGCGTCTAGCACGCTGGGAGGAAGAGCGGAAAGTGGAGGACCAGCGGGCTTTAGACCGCGCAATCAAACAATCTACCATGCTGTTCGAGAAAAGGCGTCTGGAAATTCTTGGAGAGACTGGCAGTGATTTCCCTGATTCAACAGATGCCGAAGAGAGTGGAACGGATGTAACTTCCAGCGATGAGGAAGAGGATGAAAGCAACATGTCCTCTGCGGATTCGGAAACTGAGGATGAAGACGACGTTGACGATGATGAGGGGTTGACGGCGGAGGAGCTCCGGCAGAAGTATGCTGGTTTGCCCCAATCCACCTTGGTTTCAGACCGTGAATCTGTGGCTTCCGACAATAGCGAGTCTTCCGATGGCACACATACCTCACATATACCTCAGAAAATGGAGGACATCAACGATTCTCAGGGTGGAACGCCGCTGGAGCAGATTGAACTGGACGAAGTCGATCCAATGCTCCTTGATGATAGCGAAGACGAATCTACGGACATGGATGATGATATGGGCGATAGTGATGAGGATGGAGATGCCGACGACACAGACTCGGAGGAGGAAAGCGACGATGGACCGGGACTATTAGGATTCTTCTCATCAAAAGATCATGGGCTGAGTGATGCTCACCACTTTGACGATGAAGAAGGTGATGATTCTTTAGCTAATCTGAATCATGAAGATGGCCCTGGGTTCGACGATGATGGGCAATCAGTTTCAGTCGACGAGGACGACGATGAGGAACTGGAGGATGCAGACGAAGTTTCTCTGGTTCCGAATGGTCCTTCAAACTCGGGATCTACCTCTCAGGCGACGGCCGAAGTTTCTCCTGTAACCGACACTCCTGATGGAAAGCAAGCAGGACAGGCTGAAGTGATCGATGCCGACATGGCTGCTGCTGCTCCTCCCGAAGATCCGGCACCCCTCGAGAACTCAGCCCCTCTTGAAGATTCGGTTGCTATTGACACACCGGATGATGCGATGGAAGATGGTCATCGCCAGCAGTCTCCCCCTTCGATCAATAACTTGGATGAGCAAGAACTTCGCCAGAATGGAGGGGCATCTAGCGAAGCATCTCCTGGTACGCTTGCAACAAAACCCTCTGAACCCGAGTCTGTCTCTTCTTTCGAAGCGCCCGGCGAAAAGCCGCCTCAGCCAAGTGAATCTCCCGCTCCTGGGTTGAAGACGCCGATACCGCATCTACTCCGGGGAACTCTGCGAGAGTATCAGCATTATGGGTTAGACTGGCTTGCCGGACTCTATAACAGCCACATCAATGGTATTCTTGCCGATGAAATGGGTCTTGGCAAGACTATTCAGACGATTGCTTTGCTTGCACACCTGGCCGTGGAACATGAGGTTTGGGGTCCACATCTGGTTGTCGTCCCAACGAGCGTGATTCTCAATTGGGAGATGGAATTCAAGAAATGGTGTCCCGGTTTCAAGATCATGACTTACTATGGCAGCATAGAGGAACGCAGGCAGAAGCGCAAGGGTTGGACCGACGATACGAGCTGGAATGTATTGATCACTTCTTATCAACTGGTGTTGCAGGACCAGCAGGTCCTGAAAAGAAGAAACTGGCATTATATGGTTCTTGATGAAGCTCATAATATCAAGAACTTCCGCTCTCAAAAGTGGCAGACATTGCTTACTTTTAGGACCCGCGCACGGCTGCTTCTTACAGGTACACCGCTCCAGAACAATCTCACGGAACTATGGTCTCTTCTCTTCTTCTTGATGCCTTCTGACGGTGACGGGACTGGCATTGAGGGATTTGCGGATCTCAGAAACTTTTCTGAATGGTTCCGCCGCCCCGTAGAGCAAATCTTGGAGCATGGCAGAGAAACCATGGATGATGAGATGAAACGAGTGGTTACGAAACTCCATACTATCTTGCGTCCTTACATCTTGCGCCGCCTCAAAGCCGACGTCGAGAAGCAGATGCCAGGAAAGTACGAGCACGTCGTTTATTGCCGACTTTCGAAAAGGCAGAGATTCTTATACGATGGGTTCATGTCCATGGCCCAAACCAAAGAAACGCTTGCATCTGGCAATTACCTCTCTATTATTAACTGTCTGATGCAGCTGCGCAAGGTTTGCAACCACCCGGATCTCTTTGAGACTCGGCAGATATCGACATCATTTGTGATGCCTCATTCCGTGGCCACTGAATATGCAAACAAGGAACTACTCGTTCGGCGGCGGTTGCTATATGAACATCCCCTCACGAAGCTGGACTTGGACTTTCTCAACCTGGTTCCTATCTCGAGAGAAGATATCTCGCGAAGGTTGGCAGACGATAGTACTAGGCTAATGGCTTACGGACCCTTCAACATGCTCCGGGAACGTCAGTACAAGCGCACGAATTGGCAAATGATGTTCGACGGGTCTACGGTGCAGTCGACGCTCGAGGCATTGGAGAACGACGCCAGAAAACGCAGGATGGCGGAATTGGAACGGTGTCTTTACTTCGAGTCGAAACGCCATGGCCGTCGACCGGTTTATGGAACCAGTCTCGTCGAATTTCTCACTGCGGATAGCAAGCAGAGACCAACTCTGAGTGGTCGTCCCCAAAAGCAGTCTCTCGGGGAGTGGTTGTCAAATCGGTCATCTGTTCTCGCATCAATGATTTTGTCCATCGAAGAGCGGTCCCAAGCCATGGATGGTTACGTCAGACGTTTCGCCTGTGTTACGCCAGCTGCAGTTGCCTCTGGTATTACAGAGGCAGCTTTGACTCCTATTGAAACCCGTTACTTGACCGAAAAGGAGCGTTTCCCTGCTTATGATCCGTTCCACGAGGCCCAGATGCGTCTTTCAATCGCTTTTCCAGACAAGAGGCTGTTGCAATATGACTGTGGGAAACTGCAAAGGCTCGATAAGCTGCTCCGGGATCTCAAAGCCGGTGGTCATCGAGCCTTGATATTCACGCAGATGACGAAAATGCTTGACATTCTGGAGCAGTTCCTCAACATCCATGGGCACCGGTATTTGCGACTAGACGGTACAACCAAAGTGGAGCAGCGCCAGATTCTGACCGACCGGTTCAACAACGACGATCGCATCTTGGTGTTCATTCTGTCCAGCCGATCCGGTGGCTTAGGTATCAACCTGACGGGCGCTGATACTGTGATCTTCTACGATCTTGACTGGAATCCGGCCATGGACAAACAATGCCAAGATCGGTGCCACCGTATTGGACAAACGCGCGACGTCCACATCTACCGATTCGTCTCGGAGTTTACCATTGAATCGAACATTCTCCGCAAGGCCAACCAGAAAAGAATGCTAGATGATGTCGTCATCCAGGAGGGTGAATTCACTACAGACTACTTCACCAAGCTGGACGTCCGTGACGTGATCGGTAATGAGGAAGCGGAGGCGCAGGATGAAGCCAGCGCCGCCATGGACCGCGTCCTATCCAGCCGGGTTGTCACGGGTGGCTCTCGGGTCTTCGAGCAGGCGGAGGACAAGGAGGATATCGATGCGGCCAAGAACGCACAGAAGGAGATGGAACATGCTGACGACGACG